CCTGTAGCCTCCTGTGTGTGTGTCAGTGAACTGTGTCTCACGTTGTAAACGCTGTGCAGGCCTCGGTGAGGCAGCGGCGTCCTCTGCTGCAGCTTCAGGTCTCCGCTGACGAACAGCTTGGCTCCAGGAACCGGAGACGAGTGCTGGACGAACGCTAGGCTCTGCATCACCACCGTGGACATCCGCTGCAGGAGACACAGAGAACAAGCTGCTCACGGTCAAGAGGCTCCACTGACCTCAGATCAGCTGACCGTCTGGTCCACAGCCTCTGAGTGGCCTGAAGCCTTCATGACGGCTTACACATGTCAAGTCCCCTGTAATCAGAGATTACTGATCTACTGTCCGATATTCCAGATTCTGAATCATGAGGAGAAACAACAGAGAAACTTCCAGGTTTTTATCTTTAACAGTTCCTCAGACGTTCTTCAAACAGACTCACATTTTAATGTGAGAATAAAACCTGCTGAAAGTTAGTCGACGGGAAACTTTTAAAAAACAGTCATCAATTAAAGTATTTGATAAATGAAGCTTAAACTTAACAAATATCTTTATGCATTTCTAAATGTGATGTGATGAAGGTTTCAGGCCAACCACAGATGATGGAGCAGGAATGTTCTGAAGGTTTCCGGAGATGGAAGTTTGTTTCTGTGTTTTATGTTCACTTTGTTTTCCACCAAATCTATGTGTCAATCCACTTTTCTGTGCTGCTTTTTGCACCTTTTACTTGTTGTTGCACTTTGATTTATTAATCCGTTGTGTGTTGTTCACTTCCCTCAAAGTATTTGACAAACGAAGCACAAAGCTCTTTATGAATATCTACGTTTTATGCTGCGAATGAGACTGTTGAGCAGGAACTGTTGATGACCCCAGTAGCTGCTAATATAAATCATTTAACACTAATATACTGCATTTAACGCTGATGACAGAACGTCCATCATCGAGCAGCGCTGTCGTGTCTCTGAGCCGCTGGATACGTACGAAGAGCTGGTAGCTGAAGGTGAGCAGCAGCTGGACGCTGTAGATCTGCTCGTCGGGCTTCAGAGGAAGCTGCAGCTGGAAGATCAGGAGGTCCGGCTTCCCGTCCTGGTTCTGGTCCACTTCTCTCACCTGCACAGGAGCATCATGGGAAACGGATGCAAAAGACTACAACATGGAAACACATAAAAACTACAGAGAAGCTCACAGGAACAGCGTGAACTTCCTTTCACTCCACTTCCCTTAATTCTGCTTTTATTTTAATTTTAGAACAAATAAACATGAACACAACCAATTAACACACATGGAGGGTTTCTACATGTGTCACCGTGTAAATTTAAAATGTCACAGAAAGAGATTTAAGAAACAAACGAACCACAGAATGAGCTCTGATGGAGAGCTAGTAAGAACTGTTCTATCTTCATAAAACTTTATTTGTCTCTTATTTTGTCTGTTTTTATTTGTTTAAGTCAGTCAGACTGAATTATTCTGCACAGAGGAAACTGTTCATATGAACCAACCAGAGCTCAGCTGCTGGTTTCACTCAGATTTTATTTGATTTTTTAGCTAAAATGTCATAATTTCCCGAACAGCAGCTTCTCAAATATGAATATTTGTCGGTTGTACAGATTTTATATGATTGGAAATGTAAAGTTTGGGTTCATCAGACAACAAAATCGAGCAGGTTTGATTATTTGGAGGCCACAGAAGCAGGCCCGACCCAAATGAAGCTTGTTAACAGTAACTCTGAGCGTTTGGACCGGTTCTCACAGAGACGGCCGGGATCCTCAGGTTTGCTCCCAGCATGTTGTTCAGGAGGCTGAAGGAGCTCCAGGCCACGTAGTCGCCCCGGACGCTGGTCGCCGCCACCAGCAGGGTCTCGTACTGGAACCGGACCAGCGGCTGCTCCTCGTACGTGCTGCGTTTGATCCAGAAGCCTGAAACAGATTCAAACAGTCAGTTCTGCTCCGTGAAGGTCACGAGGATGAAGCTCCACACTCCTGGTTCCTCCTCAGGATCCCTCAGCCTCTCATCAGCAGGTCAAACTAGTAGCTGCTGACCTTCAAAGTGAAGGTCAGACTCATGGTTTCTCCACTGGACCAGCTGGATGATTCATCATCAGTCAACCGACAGCGAGCAGTCAGTTAGTCTTTAGCTGTTAATCAGAAACTATCTGAATAATCGATTCATCAGTTTGAGTCATTTTCTCAAATAACAAAACCGACAAACTTCTGCGATTTCAGCTTCTTCAATGTGAATATTTTCTTCTGTGGGACGGTGAACTGAATCTCTTTGGGCTTTGAGCAACATTTTCATAATTTTCTGACGGTTTACGAACCAAACAATCAAACAATCAAGAAAAGAATGGACTGAAATGATCGGTATCTGTCATTCCCACACAGAAAACCATGAAACATTATTCCAGATGAACAGAACAAACATTCAGGCACCACATAGCACAACGAAACACACACATTAAGTTGTTTTTAATGAAACTAATGTCTTCATTTATCTGGGAGCAACTTATCAAATGTGCACATGTTCAACTTTCTCTTTTATCAATATCAGTAAAGTCAGTTTATTAATTAGATGGTTGGTCAGATAAGGATGTTTTTGCTCCTTTATGCACATTTCTGTTTAATTTTCTATATTTATAACATCTCAAAAACACATTTTCTAACATGAGAATATGTTTCATTTAATTTAAGTCCTTAAAACTTTACAAAACCTGAAGGAAAATCATGAAAAAAAAATCTCAGAAAAACTAAATAACAATTTAAGAAAAGCTGAAAGTAAAACCGTAACATCAGTGCATCAGTTAAAGAGCAGCTCAAATAAACTTCACAAGAACTAACACTAAGTTCTGACTCGGACGGAACCCAACAGAAGATCTACTCTCTAGTTTATCTGATCCACTAAACTGCTCCTCTGAATGTTCTGGTTCTGGTTCGGTGTGTCTCTACCTTGGCTCCTGTAGGCGACCAGCAGCGGGGGGATGTAGGTGAGGCCCAGAACCACCAGCAGGAACAGCGTGGCTTTAGTGCAGACGCCGGTTCGGTACCGAACCAGAGCCGGATGTGAGTAAACTTCATAGAAAGCCATCGGTGCGCGCGGATCAACAGCCTGCTAACGCTAGCATAGATGCTAACGCGGGGGCTAACGAGAGTAAACAGACGAGAAAAGACGCAACTTCAACGCTCTGTTTGGGTCTTTAGGTGAAGTCCATCGAACCGCCGCCGTCTTTGCGAAAGTGTTCGTCAGAAATCACAGAGTTTTAGCGGCTCTTAGCCTCCAGGCTAGCGGAGCAGCAGCCGCGGCGCCATGTTGGAGCGTCTCCGGGTTACCATGGCTACCGGAGCGTCACGGTGCGTTCAGGGGCCGTCGGGACAAAGAGGATCAGGAAGCTCTGATGATGTGTTTCCCTGTGGCTGTTTTGTGTCTTTTTGTGTTTGAGTTTTGTATTTTTTTTTTTTGCATTTCTCTGTGGCTCCTGTCTACCTTTACAATTGTTCTGGGTGTTTTCATGGTTGCGTTGTGCATCTTTTAGGTGGTTTGTTGTGGATCCGTGATTGTTTTGTGTGGCTCAGGGAACTGCTTTGTGTGTTTGTGTAGTAGTTTCCGGTGTCTTTGTCATTTTGTGCGTCTTTGGGTGCTGCTTTGTGGGTGCTTTGTGTCTCTTTTGGGTAGTTTGGCGTCTATTTGTGTGTCTTTGGAATAGTTTTGCATATCTTTGTGTACGTTTTGTGTATTTTGTTGGTTTAGTTTGTGTTTCTTTTGGATTGTTTTTGTGTCTTGTTGTAGCTGTCTTGCATCTGTTTGTGTGTCTGTTTGTTTTGCATTTCTCTACAGTTGTTCTTTGTGTTTTGTAGTCATTTTGTGTGTCTGTGGTGTCTTGTTGTGTGTCTCTGCAGCCGTCTGTTTGTGGTCATTTTTGTCTCATTGCAGACATTTTGTGTGTCTCTTTGTGGTTGTTTTGCATTTTGTGGGGGCTGGTGTGTGTCTTCTGAGTTGTTTTGCACCTTGTTTGGTTTTATGTGTCTTAAAGCATGGAGGTTTATGGAGGTTGTTGTCATGCTTTGTGGTCGTTTTGTGTCTGTTTGAAGCTGTTGTGTGTCTCCTTTGTGATTTTTTTTTGTCTCTTTTTGTCTCTAAATGTGTTTTGTGTCTAAGGACATCGTTTTTGTGTCTTCTTTAACCGTGTCTGTCTCCCTTTGTGGCTGTTTGCTGTTGTAGGGCATCGTTTTGTCTCTTTTGGGGTTGTGCAGTTTATATTTGTAGCTGTTTTGTATTTAGTTTCAATTAAACTTTGTCTTCCTCTGAGCGGTGTGAGGAACCAAACCCTGATGGGAGGAGGTTTGTGGTCATTTTGTGCGTGTTGTAGTTGCTGTGTGTGTCTGTAAGGTTTTGTTCCTCTTTGCAGCTGTTTTTCATGTCTTTGTAGTCATTTTTTGTCATTTTGCAGTAACTTTGTGGTCCTGTTGAGTCTTGTATTTGTTTGGGATTCAAGGGTGCCATAAAACTTCATTTTCAAAAATGCTGATGTGGAGAAAACAAAAACCTGCCAGGTGGTTTAATTATCTTATTTACAGTATTTTATAAAAGGTTGAACTCCTGCCTGGGCCCTGAACGCACCAGTCTGCTCGGTGACACACACACACTGGTTTGATGTCCGGCTGTCCCTGAACTCAGCATCCCTCCCCCGCCTCCCTCCACTCAGACGGTGACGTCACTCCGGGCTCAGACGTCCAGCTGAAGGCTCCGGCGGACACACAAACACACACAGACACACAAACGCTCCGTTAACGGCTCGTTTTGGGCGCTTTTGTCTGGATTTAGTCGCACGTTTGCTCCGAAACCCGCCGCAGGTCCCGCAGGTCCCGCAGCCGCCGCTCCGCCGCCTGCCGTCACGCCTCAGTGCGGGGATCCAGCAAAGATGAAATGGATGTTTAAAGAGGACCATTCCCTCGGTAACGGAGCCCGGGTTGTTATGAAACCGGAGATGTTCTTGTCATGTCATGCAGCCTCCTCCTCCGCTGCCTGCGCATCGCTTTCCGCCTGATCATCCCGCACGGAGCACGAACCCGCATGTTGTTGTGATGAGCCTGCGGACAGCCGAGCATCCATCATGGCTGCATGCCGAGCGGCTGATGCTAACGCGATAAACCGGCTTCACCTTTCACATCGCAGCACATTAGTCAGCTGAACCTGCCCTGGAGCGCTGCTTCCCATTGCATGCAGACAGTCCGTCGCCAAACTCCATTCAAAAATCTGCTGATTTAAAGTTTCCATGCACAGATTTCATCACTGGTAGAAAAGCGTTGCAGTAAAACGCTTTATGGATGCTTGTCGTGAATTCGGCTGAATAAAACAGCAGCTCAGACTGCTTGATGACACCCTGCAGGATGTATTTAAGCATCCAGAAGTAGTCGTGACCACCACTACATGGAGGCCGAACTGAACTTTAACATGTCTCACACATACTAACAATACAAACCTCCCATATGAATGTTAATTTGCTAGAATTTTGAATTGAGTTTGGTGTAAAGCTCTTACAAATGTGACTTTCCATGGCATGCCGATATATCACCACCAAAGTCCATTCAAAAATCTGCTAATTTATTGTTGCCTTGCATGTTCAACCACTGATAGAAAACCCTTTGCAGTAAAATGTGTTTTTTTGGTTGTTTTTTTTAAATTCTTGTAGTTAATTCGGAAACACAAAACAGCACTTTGACCTTTTGTGTTGCTTCGGGCTGCTTGTGAACTCCTCCAGGTTATATGTCATTTAAATAAAAGCGTCTCAAACCACCTGGACGCTGAGCTGAAGCGCGTCTGATAAGTTTTGTGCCTCTTTGTATTTCTTTGTGAATGTTTTGTGTGTCTGGTGCTGTTTTGTGTGTTTCAGGGCTTCGTTTTGTGTCTTTTTGTGGTTATTTTTTGTCTTTTTGCATTTTTTGTGGTTGTTTTGGGAACTGTTTAGCATCTCTGAGGTTATTTTGTGTGTTATTGTAGTTCTTAGTGTGTCTCTGTGGTTGTTTTATGTGTCTTTGAGGTTTTATTTGGTCTGTTTGTGGTCATTTTGTGTGTCTTTGGGATTGTTTCTGACATTATTTGTGTCACTTTGTTGTTGTTTTGTGTGTCTTTTGCCTTATTTTGTGTCAGTGGAGTTGTGTTGTGTGTCTTTGTGGTCACTGTGTGTTCCTTTAAAGGGTATTTTTTGTCTCTTTGTGGTTGTTTTAAATGTCTTGGGGGTTGTTTCGTGTCTCTTCGTGGTCGTGCTGTGTGTATGTGGGATTGTTTTCACATGTTTTTGAGTTCGTGTTGCATCTTTTTTTATTGTTTATTCATATTTGGGATTGTTCTGTTGGTCCACAGACATAAAACAACGTATGGAATCTTAACTGACTGTATTTTTGAATGGACTCTGGTGTGGCAGTCTGGAGCGGCTCGGTGCAGGCCTGGATTCTGTCACTTGTACAGATTCTCCTCAGGCTCCTTTTTAAAGAAGCACTTCCAAAAGTAGGCCTGTTATCTGGGCTAATGAAGGGAGCAGCTAAATGGATCTCCTCTCCATCACCTCCTCATCCTCTGCTGTGGTTCTGCCCGCTGCTCTGCACCGCCTGCATATTTATAGAAGTTCTGCTGAAGTTAGCGGAGCGGACCTCTCCATCAGCCGGTGCCGAGCGGCCTCATCCCTCTAACCGCCGACTCTCTGTCTGTTTGCTGTCTCTTCCTCAGAGCACCGATGTGTGGAATCAGCCAAAATACGCAACAAATACCCCGACAGAGTACCGGTGAGTCCTGGGCGGGTTCGGTGAGTGGCAGCGGGTCTGTGATGGGACGAATCAGCAGCCTGGAGCCGTCCCTCAGTCCGTCAGCCCGTCAGTCCATCAGTCCATCAGTCAGTCCATCAGTCCTTCAGTCAGTCCCTCAGTCCATCAGTCAGTCCTTCAGTCAGTCCATCAGTCCCTCAGTCCGTCAGTCAGTCCGTCAGTCAGTCCATCAGTCCGTCAGTCCATCAATCCCTCAGTCCGTCAGTCAGTCCTTCAGTCAGTCAGTCAGTCCTTCAGTCCATGATCTCTGTCCTGCACAAGTCTCACTGAGCTCATATATTTAACACTCTTCTCGGTCTTCAGCTTAATTAGCTACTTAATTTGCATTTTATAACACACTCAAGAGTCATAAACATAATTATTAACAACAACATTGATATTCTATATTTTTTCTGATTTAAATGCTGTGAAATAACCAAATATAGATGTTTGATGTTGACAATATTTCTAGTTTTTATTTTTTACAGTTAACATGTAATTTAACAAAACAAAGAAAATCTGTTCATCACACACTGAATTTTTTTATTCAAATGTCGGAAAATATCTGAAGACATTACATTTTAAATACAGTAAAATAGTTTAATCTGAGGCTCAAATGTTGTTAAAGAACAAATGAACATTTTAAAGAATACAGATTGTTGATGTGGGCATTACAGTTTATTAATGTAAAATATATGAAGTATTTTCTGTAATTTAACAAAACAGGAAAAATACCAAAAAAATGTATATATACTTAATATTTTTTCTTTCAATTAACAGAAAAAAATAGAATTAAAAAAAAAGTGTGACGTTCAAAAACTCAACAAACAAAATTAAAATACTGGGATAAACATCCCTGAAATAAGACTTCTGGGGCTGATTTGAATGGAAGAATGAATTATTATTTGTAAAAGTAGATATTTCTGATTATTTACAGGGCTGGCCTGTTTTGTGTTTTTTACAGTGAACATGTCAAGTAATACTTTTCCTGTGATTTTATTAAACATTATCTGTAATTTAACAAAACAATGAGAATGTGTGAGACGACAGTGAATCCTTTAAACTGATGAACTTCAACGCTGTCAGAAACGTGACTTATAAATCCACGTCAGCTGGACTCTCAGCAGCAGAACCGTCGCTGCTGGTTTCTCCTTAATTAGGGTCCGAGCACCCAAAAGGGTGTGAAGACCCTATTGGAACTGCTCGGATTATTATTATTATTCGTGCCAAAGACACGCGTTTTTGAGGCCCTAAACATACTCGAAAACTCACCAAAATTGCCATGTACATCAGACCCGGTGAAAAAGTTTATAATTTGGAAGAAGTCAGGCTGGGCCAAGCTGTAAAATGCAACACAGCTCAACGGCGCCCCCTACAATATTTCAACAGATTCCCATTGGGGCTATGTTTGAATTACAACTACTACATTTGCTACACATATGTAACAACTTGTGACGCACAAAAAAGTCCATTAGCATGTTTCTGTAAACCCAACAGGAAATCCGCCATGTTGGAAAAACCGCGAGCATGTCGGGCCA